CGATTGCGCTGTAGGGAAACATGCCGATGAGACCGAGTCCAAGACCACGATATGCCGCCCGAAGACCGCCGTCCGCCCACATGTTCTTTGCGGTGCGGAGGAGCAGGGCGTTGCCTTTGAGTCCTCCCTCGACTGTTTCGCATTGCAGTCGGAATTTGAGAGTGTCGACTGGGTAGACGCAGAATTGAGCCGTCATTCCGCCCATACCGCCGGCAACGAACTTTGAGACGGTGCTGATCTGAGTAGGGTCGTTGTGGCCTTCGTAAGCTGCAAGGAAGCGCTTGGAAGCTTCGTATGAGCCGAACCGTATGGCAGATTCCGGCATGATCTTGACGACATTGAGACCGTTTCCTAGAGTAATATTAGCGATTGTCCCCCCTCCCCCCCCCCAAATAGATTCGCAAAATGAGCTTCCTTACCTGCAAAAAAGGTGCGCATTCCACCAGCCTTCCACAGGCTCACAATGGCGTCGGCGATCGGGCCTCCTGCGTTGCGCAGAGCGGCGAGTGGTCGACCACTCTTTGCGGCGGCGAGGGCTGCATTTTCGGCGGTTCTGGTATTGACGAGAAGATACACCTTGAGGCGATCCAGAGGCGCCGTCGCCGTTCGCGACACACCACCAGAGACGGCGCCAGCGAGGAAGTAGCCTGGTTCAGGTAGTAACTCTGTCAGTTTGGATTTCACGACCTCTGGAGTCCTAGTGGCAAGATCTGAAAGGTCCTCCTGGATAGTGGAATCGGTCTGCTTGACTGGTTGTGAGGGGAGCTTGACGGCGCCTGCGCTGCCTCCGAGAATCTGCGGTGCGACCGCAGCAGCGGGCCCGTAACCCACGGCCGCAGCAGACATGGCCATGTTGTCTGGCGGCGTTGCAGCAGAAGAATGTTGAAGTTGTTGTTGTGGATGGTGGCTGGCGGCGGAAGAAGTGGTGATGGTGGTTTGCGACTGGAGAGAAGAAGTAGAAGTAGAAGAAATTGAAGAACCGGGAGCTGCTGCAACAACCTCGCTCGAGGTTTGATGAGAAGGTCGCGGGGTGGTTGGATGACTTGTTGCGTACTGGGGGTTCGCGATCCTCAAAAGTGAACCAAAGAGAGCTTGAAGAAGGAATCCGGTCGTACCTAGACCCTCTAGAACTTCATCACTAACCAGTGAATCTCCCTCTGCGTTGACTGTAACAATCGACGAATAAAACGATAAAGCTGCTTCTAGCGGCGAGCCGGCGTGGTGGGTGGGCATAAACAAGAGGAAGTCGCTTTTTTCAAGAAACCGTTAGCCATGCGATCCCAATTTGTGGTGTTCACCTGTTCTCCGGTGCTGAAATCGCTGCGAGTGACGTCGCTCAAAATGGGGCACCTGCCACTGTCCAACCTTGCCATATGACCAATTGTCCACTGCGAGCCACCGAATAATTGGTCCAAGAACAATGGGAATAAAAACAACATTCACGACAGAAGGTCAAAAATCCACCTTTGAGGTGGGTCAACCAACAATTGCATCCGCCGCCTGCAAAAAGTGGCACAGATGACCTCGACCATGGAGGGGAGACCAAAAAAAGGAGGGGGGAGGGGGGCGGCCAACAATACCCAGACCGAGGAAATAAGCAAATATTTATAAAAAAAGTAAATATTACGTACCGCCATTCATCAAAACTAATAAAGCCATCATTGTTCATGTCGATCTCGTCGAAGAAGCCGGCCAACCTCCTCATGGGGACTGAGAGTCCTGCGCGCTGAAAGGCAGCGCGAAGCTCCTTCTTATCGAGTCGCCCGTCTTGGTCGCGGTCGATTGCTCTGAACAAAAGAAGCAATTGCTTCTCAGCCGTCTCGACGAAGGTACGGAATTCTAACACGACACCAAATCTCAGCCTTTGTTGTCTTTTTCGCTCAATGCGCATCGTCCACGGACGCACCTTCATACTGAATCTTGCCGTCGCCGTCAGTATCGACAGTCCTTATAATCTCCTTGAGCATGTGATCGGCATTCTTCATGGCTGTACACCGCATATCAATAATTGCTGGACCAGGCCAGACTAGGGAGACACCTTACGATGGTCAAGCCTCCTCAACCCCTTTTGAAGTCCCTTCCAGTCAAGCTCCCCGTGTCCAGCGGGGTCAAGCTTGTTCCAAAGCTCCTCGATCCGCTTGTCGCGTTGATTCTGTGGCTCCTCCATCTCGATCTCGAGCTTCGCCACTACATCCCAGACCGTCATGAATCCCTATTTATTATAGAACCATCGTATGGTAAGCGTATCGGGGAGGGGAATGATGGTTATCGCGCGCGGCCTCGGGGCGCGGGGTGAACGTGGACGCAGATGGAGACAAGCAATGCGCTTATGACGTATGAGGGAAATTCCAGGCCAGCGACAAGAGCAAAAATAAAAATTGGTGGTTCGTCGGTTGCTTCTTTTGCTAGTGATACGGCATTGCGGGATTGGTCAGGTATCCAAGAGCTGCTGTTCTATGGTTTCCATCAACCAGAAAAAATATAACCTGGGGGGGACCCTCTTCAAGGTGGTGCCCAGTTTGTCCCGAATCCCCGATTGAGCGGGACTTTGGACGGATTATCGCTGCTTGGAGTTCTAGCTTGCTTCAGGCTCGAGTGGCTCCGTAGTTGTTGCCGGGAAATCTTGGAGGCGTTTAGGTCCCGCCAAGGGGGGAGGGGGGAAGCTGCAAAACAGATGCGGGCCGAAAGCAGTGTAGCCAATGGTACCTGGGATATCAGATGGCATCAACGCGTGTCGAAAACAAAGAGATGTTTCCAGCCCTTTTCTGCAACAAATTATTTCGGAATGTGTTTTCAATTTGCCTCTTGACACATTTCTGTCATTTATTACGAGAGATGTCCCTGCGCATTATTCCATCATCTCCATCTCCATCACACATTGTTGTTAAAGAGGTACCTCGTGATGCGAAAGCCAACATGTCATTTGTCACTTGCCGAAGGTTTAACCCCACTTGGTACGGCTTGGAAAGATGGATCTCCAAAACCATCATCCAATTCCTAGCCAAATGATTCGTCAGCCCTTTTTTTTTGAACGCTGCCCCCAAACCAGAGCGCCACATTAAACTTTCAAAACCCCCCCAAACTCCACCGATCACCCATCACTTTCGTGATACCATCACCAGCCATTCCGACGGGGACTGCAGGCAGGGCCCAAATACCCTCTCCCCTTTGTTGGGTGAAGAGATACAGGGAAAATGGCGTCCAATTATTGGGAATCGACACAACGCCGATATTGGCAATTCTCAAAAGATGAGCTCGCCAGCATCCGACAGGCACTCGAGGATGCCGACCCCAACCTCGTCCAGTCCTTCCCTTTGCCGCAGCAGCGGCACTTGAATCTCTACTTTAATCAACAGGTCAATCGTCTGGGAAAACGACTCGCGACCCGTCAGCAGCCGCTCGCGACGGCACAGATGTACCTCAAACGATTCTACCTGCGCGTCGAGATCCGCCGAACGAATCCATACCTGTTCATCGCGACGGCCGTATACCTGGCCTGCAAGATGGAGGAATGCCCTCAGCACATCAGAGTTGTTGTGCAGGAGGCGAGAAGCCTGTGGCCGACAGATTTCCACGGGCAGGACACGTCCAAACTGGGCGAGTGCGAATTCTTCCTTATCTCGGAAATGAACTCGCAGCTTATAATACACCAACCGTACCGGACTCTGACGAACCTGCAGTCGGATTTCGAGCTTACCCAGGAGGAGATAATGCTTGCTTGGACTGTCATAAACGACCATTACATGACGGATTTGCCTTTGCTGTATCCACCACACACCATCGCATTGACGGCGATGCTTTTAGCGATTGTGCTGCGTCCACCGAATACCACAGGAAACGGCGGCGGCGGAAACACTCCAGTAACGGCGGCAGGGGTGACGGGAGGTTTAGCAATGGCAGCGAGCGCATTTCAAGCTCAGGCGCAAGCTCGCGCGGCGGCGGCAGCAGCAGCAGCTATGGCGGCCAACGGCGGTAATAGCGGGCCAGGCACGCCGCAAGGGTCATTTTCTGGGTTTTCACCAACTACGGAGGCGCCAGGAGCAGAGATGAAAAAGGCGCCTGATGTTAGGTTCGCCAAGGCCCAGCGGTTTGCGGCCTGGTTGGCCGAGAGTAATATGGACATTGAGGCCATGATTGACTGCGCCCAGGAGCTTATTTCGTTTTATGAATGTCACGAGCAGTATAACGAGAAGCTGGCGAGGGATCAGATCAGTAGATTCATCAAGGCGAGGGGGTTGGATAAGTGAGATTGAAGGTTGTTTTTGTATCGGTTGATTGAGATGATGGTTGGTCATCATTGTTTATATTTGGTAGACCAGCGCAGCTAATTCTGAGTTGTCATCTGGTGGTGATACCCGCACAGAGGCGAGGAATCTGATTCTGACGGGGGTTGTTTTGATGGAGCACTCGGGTTACCCCAGGGATGAACATGTTTTGCCAAGAGTCTATACGAATAGGGGGCGAAAAGGGAAGAAGATACTGGTTAGCTTGAAAAATGTTGGTAAGCTTGATGGCGGTATATTGGAGTACGAGTTGAACTGTAATATTGGTTTTTTTTTTTTTTCGTTGGTATAGATCATATATCAACTGACTAGAGGTAGAACTTCCGTTGGTTCAATTGGTACGCGTACCTGCGAGTCCTTCGCTCGGTGTAAGAATAACACATACAGGAGGCTCCTCGGGGCCTTTTTCGGCCCTGATATCATATCAGTTTCAATGCATCATGGCATATGTTGCTCACTCGTTATTGGTTATGACTTTTGGATGGTGTGTAAAACCAACAGGTGCGGGGCAGTCAACATGGAGGACTTCAAAGTTGGTCTTGTACGTACTCGTCTGTGCAACCGTCACATGCCTTTTCGGGTTGAGACGCTTTGGCTTTTGAGAGTGCCGAATACGTGAAGAACATGAAAAATGTGAAAGGAAAAAAGAAAAAAAGAAGAAGAAAAAAAGAAAGAAAAAAGAAAAAAAAGAAAGAAAAAAAGACAAAATTAAGATTATGCCCTCGGCCAGGTTCGAACTGGCGTCTCCCGGTCTACGCTGGGGAAATGCAACGCTGGGGTTGACCGGGCGCGTAACCACTTCGCTGCGAGGACATTGGTCGGTGTCACTTTTGGAATCCATATAGTGCTCGAGCGGTTGTGGTGGTGGGTGGAAGAAGGTTCTGGCTGAGGTGGGTTGTGTGGACGTGTGTGGCGTCTGACTGTTTGAGATAGGAGCGTCATGAGGATCATGGGGGAGATAGGGGAATATCAAAAGGCCGGGAAAGTTTGTGAGAATAACGAAGTGAATACTGGATTGTTGTGATGGAAAAAGGGGTTTGAGCCTTGTTTGGTTTCCCACATCACGGCAGCTTCCAGAGATATGAAACATGTTCAGAAGCACGTGGAATTGCCATGTACCACAGTAGTTCGAAAGTTAGATTCTCGGCACGGCCGAGATATGTGCGGCGATAGTCCGCGTTTACCTATCTTCTCACAAAACCGTCCAACCAGAAGGATTGTTCTTGAAAGAGAAATCTCGGATGTTGCTCCGCGCAGAATTAATCAGCGGCATACATGAGCACTCTATCTGATCCAGCAATGCCTCAGCTCTCGCGTCTAAGTGAGGGATGGTGTGTAAGCCATTTGGTAAGCGCGCGTCTTGGATCCGATGGAAGGATACCAAGTGCTGCCAAGGCAAGGCTCTGTGGAAGGTTGACTGAGAGGGAAAGCTTCTTTCCTCCCCGAATATTCCCGTCTTGACGATGAAGGCATTTCTTCCTCCATGCCTCACGGCCACAGGATACGGCTGAAGCCTGTTGGGAAAGATATTACTTGCATATACTCGGTGTTCTGTGTAATATACAAACAATGTTGACCAAGGGCGCGTCTATTTGTATGGTGTTACACAAACCAGCGCTAGCATAGCCGCGTTAAGGATCTCAGAGCCTTTTCCTCGATTGGATGCCTTGAGCCATTGTCTTCTCGGATGGGGAACGTCGTAATCTTTTTGGGTGGTTCGCTTTATTTCTGTTGGTTCTGCACACGACCAGGGGCCCGCTTATGCGGCCCCTGTTCTTTTTTTTTTTTCTTTCTTTTTTTGAGACATCACCACCATGCCAAGTCCTGTGTTATATTATTGCCCACCTGAGCATTCCACTCCAAGGTGCATCAATATGCATGAAAAACCCTTTCTTTGGTTGCTGCCTCGGTCCGGACCCGCATCATGGCTTTGGGAAATGTTAATAAATCTCGTTGCCTTGTCTTGTCACTGGTGAACCACACACACCATTTCTATACGGAGTGGCCAATGACGGCGTGAGTTCTGAAGAAGGAGGTGTTAGTGTGAAGTCCGATGGGAATCCGAAATTGGAAGAACTGTGATATCCCAGGTCGCCTGCGAGAGGGTGGCGAGTTTGGGTACCATGGTGTGAAGAGGTTGGGCCCGCGGCATGGGCATCCTGAAACCGCAGCTACCGATGGATGGAACATAGAGAGACAGCCTTCTTGCTTGAGTGCCGAGTGGGCTGTGAGTCTGTGAGTAGAAGGCAGAGCGGCCTGAGGCGCTTTGTGATGTGATGAGAACCCGACAGTTGGGTAGAAAAGGACGAGGGGATTGGAGGGGAGGGAAAATGTATAACTAGATAGAGACCTGTCGTCACGAGCTTAGGATAGCCAGCCCCTTTCGATCTCCATCTGTATCAACTTCTAGAGGTATCAATACCAATACCTTCAGACAACCACGCCAGAGACATACATAAGTCCAGGTGCCTTATTACACTTGAATCGTGGTAGACTCGCCCCCCAAATTCCCAACGACATGTCTAAAAGCCACCGGTAAGACGCTTCTTTCCTCGACCGCAGACCCCTTCTTGTCCCACCAAGGCTGGCCGCCCGTTTTCCCTCAAATCCCATTCCCTCCAACACTTTCCTTCCAAAACAAACAGTCTTCTCTTACCTTGATTCTAACACCACATTGTTAGCTCCCCAACCAAATACCACTCCCCAAACACCAAAGAAGCCCGAAAAGATCAAGACGCAAGACTACAACATTTCCAAAACGAACCAATACGCGAAGGAAACTTCCTCGTCGAGGTGCCTTACAAGCCAATACGACAGACAAAAGAAAGCAAGAGGGAGATGGGAATAAAGTTGGATAGAATAATGAGGGGGTTTTAACAGGAGGACTTCCATTTTATCTGCCATTGGATACAACGTGTGGGGGTTTCAATTTCACTTTCAATTCAATGAATCTTCCCGAGCATGTACCTACATATGGAGGGACGGACGGTTTATATACAGGTATAAATTTGGTGTAATACTAGTCGATGGCTTATAATAATACGTGGTTGGTGCTGCTCGGTCGAATCGTGCCGGGGCTGTCAGTATCAAGGGAGGGAATGCCTAAAATGGGGATATATTAGTTTGGACTCGAGGTTCTGGTGAAGAAGAGAAAAACCCCTGAACGGGCTGTCTTGCTAAAGGAGCTATTTCGTCAACGTCATCGGACCAGAGGTACCGCAGATATCTATGTACTGCTCATCGCTCATCTCAGTTCATACCACAGTTACATTTCATTCATCATTCCTGACACCAACTCTCATAGCAACCTCTTCCCTCATTCCATGCCAATATCTGGAGCAATCATCCCAACCCCTCTCCCACCTCCTGTATACGCGCCGTCTCCTGAAACACCAAACCCAAAGCAAAATCCCACCCAGGGTATAGTATATCCCGCTCCCATGCCAATAAATCATACAGCAAAATTAACCATACCAACCAGCCAGTAACTAACGCAACAAACCTTCCATACGCACACACCCCCTGCCCCTCTCAAGGCTTCTTCAAACTCTTCAACAGCGGCGCAATCCTCGATCGCTTACTCAACCCAACCCGATACTGCACCTTATTCGTAGCAGCAATAACATCAGCAGCCGTCTTGGCAGGGGCCGGTTTCTCCTCCTTCTTTTTAACCTCAGGCTCAACAACAACAACAGCCTTTGTTTCTTGCTGTTTCTTGTTCTCCTTGACGTCATCTTCCTCCTCAGCTTCAACTTCAGCTACAGGCTTATATGCCTCCTCTTCTTCCTCTTCATCAGTTATCTTCTTCCGGCCGCGCTTTTGGGTTCGCGGTACCTCTGCCAGAGGCTCGGGCTCGATAGGTGGAAGCACAGGCTCAGGCGTTGGTGCTTTTGCCATATCAGATTTGCGTGGTCGACCGCGCCGCTTCTTCGAGGGCGGTTCCCCCGATTCCGCGGCATTCAGTGGTTCGAAACTCGGTTCCTCGGATTGCACAACAGGTTCCACAGGGGTACCTTCCTTCTTCTTGCGCCCTCTCTTCTTCTTCGCTGGTGGTTCCTTAGGGGAGGGAGCAGTTTCAGTTATGAGTTCGGGCTCCGGTTCGGGAGCGAATGTCTCATCGACAATGTCTTGAGGCTCCTCAACTGGTGGCCCAGAGGCTTCTTCATCTCCATAGGCACCATCCAGTTCGTCCACATCATCATCGCTTCCATAGATCACCACCTTTCGCTTCTTTGCTGCCCGAGTTGCTGCCTTCTTCCTGCCTCTTTTCTTTGCAGAAGTAGACGCAGGAACGTCAGTCAACACATCCGGAGATGACTGCTGTGGTTGATTCTCAGTCTGCACTGCTGATGTATTTTTTTCCACCCAAGTATCACCCGGCCCGGCTGTTGAAGGCATCTCGTGTCTCGAAGAACCAAGTCGACTTGGAGTAGTGTAAGGTATTGTGCTAGCTGTCACGCCGCTTGATTTGTGCGTCATCTCGGCAAACCCTGCAGACAGCGAAGGCAGCGACGGCTGTGGCGCTTCCAACCCATTCTGCGACGACACATTAACCACTTCGTATTGTTGCTTCTGACTTGCCGTCAACTCGCTTTGCGCAACATAGAGCTGTGTGGGCGTATCCGATGCGCCGCCATCCTTGTTCCTCCCTGATCGTCTGATTGAACTGGGCGTCTCGGCCGGCACGAGCATTATCGGACTGGAATCTACCTCGTTCGAAACCGGACTGGTCTGCGTGCCGCGCTTCGCTCTTTTCTTTGGTGCTGGTGTTGCTTCCGGAAACTCGTAAGGGTCATTTTGTGTCGTCGCCTCTACGGGTCTGCTGCGCTTTCCCCTTGCGCTGCTTCTCGTAGAATTCGCCGATCCTCCAACCTGCGAACTGGGCACATCCCAAACAGTATCCGTATCAAGCGCCTTCCTCGGAGTTGTCAGACCAATCGCCTCAGTTGCCTTTTGCGTCTTGGTCCTTGCGCGACCTGATTTCCGTGTTGATGAAGGCATTAGAAGGGAGGGTTCCAACTCTGGCATTTGCCCCGCGGTCGGTGGAAAGGTGTCGGGAATGACAGTTGAAAGGGATTCTGAAGAAAGGCCCGTGGTTGGCGGTAAAGTATCTGGTATGCGCGACTCTGAAGATGTTCCTGCTGCTGATGGGTGCATGAGGGCAACTGCCTGATTGTAAACGCGCGCAAAAAGCGATGAATCGGTTTCGGCAGTGCTGGTGGTTTGTGGGATTATAGTTTCGTGGCGCTGTCCAATCTCGTCACCGGTGTTGGTCACTTCAAAGTCGCTATCATCGTCCTCGGAATCGAGGATGACCCTTTTGGACGTGGCCATAATGCTGGGACTTGGCGGAGTCTTTGGGGCTGCTGCTGCCTACAGGTTGAGGGACAGTACCTAGAATTAGTCGCGGTGGATAATTGACTTTTGGGGCATTCGACGCGTCGTAAAAGCGGGGCCTTGGTCACTTACAATACGCGAGGTCACGGGTTTCTTTTGACGACCGCCGGTGCCAAGATTAATTCTCACCAACCCTGTCCCTCTGCCTCTTCCCATCAGTAGCAACACCATGATGGGCAGTTGGTGATGTTTTGGGCATTATAGAAGGTTTGTGCACCATATCTAAAATAACTGGTTTTCATTGGCAGTGGGATATCATTGGATGAAGAATTGCAACGGAATTCAGCCAAAAAGGACCGTGAACGTTTCATTTTTGCATCCTCACCAATTCGTCTGAAGTTTGTCGTCTTTCTGTTTGAGAAGCCATGATTTTTTTTCAGCTGTTTCATTGTTGATCAACGGTCTCTGCCATAGAA